TATGAGGATGGTGGCGGTTGGAGGAGCTCTGCTAGGGTTTCTGGAACGAAGATGAATCTCTGGTGCTGGTTGGCGGTGTGTGGAGTGATAGTGGTTGTATCTATTGGCTTCATTCTTGTTTGGACTCACTTTTGGAGGCTGGTTTCTGATTTCCTGTCTTCCCGGTTTTTGAATTTTTGAATTGTTACTGTTACATTGGAGTTTGAGAAAGATTTGCTCAGCTTCTGTTATGGTGCTTCCATTATGGCTCTACCTATTGATGTAGAAACTAATGGTCAATGTACAAAGGCCACGTATGCATGGGTGGTTGGCAAAGCAAATGACACAATACAGGACACTGAAAGTTTGGTGTTTCCTCAAGCCTTTCATGACACTCCTGCTGGAAAGGGGTCCTCTCCTTATGTCCATGTTGTAGGCTCCAAGGATGGTGAACCAGCTATTTTCTTCTCTGCATAAGAGATTACAGATTTGAAAGAAGAAGTTAAGTTTATCCTCATTGGCAAGTTCCTGTTGGGTCACCCAAAAGGGAACCGATAAGAAACTTTTTTGATTCTTTTAAATTTATTAGGGGCATGGAAGATAGGTTTATTTGATGGGAGACAACTTTTGATTTGCAAAACAATCCATTATGATTGCTGGAACATCCATGAAGATCTTGAAATGGACTCCTAACTTTGATCCAAGTAAGGAACCACCTGTAGTTCATATCTGGTTCAAACTGTCAGGTCTCTCTCTCCCTATTTTTAACCTGAATGCCCTCTTTAACATTGGTCATGTTATAGGCACTCATTTAGTTGTGGACACTCCTACTTACAACAAAGCCAGATCTGCACTTGCTAGAATTCTCATTGAGAGGGATATTAGCCTCCCAGAGCTGAGAAGAGTATGCATAAGGTCTGATCTAGAAGGTTTCTGGCATGAAGTAGTTATTGAGCAAAGACCTTACTAATGCCAACATTGTAAGATGTTTGGACATACAGTGGACAAGTGTTACAGGCTCCACCCCCCAGTTAAAAAGAACTCCAATAATAATTCCAAGGAAACTGCCAATGGTAATGCTGAGCAAATGTCAAGCATTCCTATTGAAGGGTATAATAGCAAGACTTCTGGAGATCTTGTTGCACTGAATCAACATCTTACTGTTCAAGTAACTAAAGGAGCTGAACTTTCTTCTACTCAACAGAAGTTGGAACTTGAACTCTCCAAGGGGATCCCACCTCCTGCTTCTCTAGCTGGTTTACAATTTAAAAAAAGGGAATGCATTGCTATTCCCTCTCCCATGAAGAAGAGGATTGTAGTATTGCAGTTCCTTCCCTGGTCACTAGAATTGTGAAGGATAAGGCTGCAAATTATTCTTCAGATACTCTTATGGAGTCTACTAGACCATCTGCAGAGATGCTGATGGAAATGAACTAATTAATGGAAACAAATTGGCAAGTCCATAAAGCAAAGAAGAAAAAGAAATCTAATTTGGAAGATAAGAAGTTGATGGCAGATATCCTCTCCCACATTACTGGAAGCTCCCAGACATCTCAAAGGATGTCCACTACTCAACCTTCAAGGGGGAGAACTAGATCAAGATCTCAGGCCTCCCTTCACCCACCTACCCAACATGATTAGTTTTAGTGTTGGAACATAAGAGGGATTTCCCACCCCTTTTCCCTAAAAAGGCGTAAATATCTAAATAGGTGTCGGCACAATTTCATCCTATGGAAGCTGTCGGTCGCCGGAATCGGAATCCCGTCGCCCGATTCCGAGGGACATCTAATTTATATATATGTTAAGTTTAGAAAAATATGAAATCAAACTGATCTCATATCTTTTAAAGTTTAGATGAAAGAGTACTACATCTCAAGCTATGTATCTATTCCAAAAGATAAACACAAAACTTGAATGTGAGGGTCGATCAAACAAACTAAGAAATAAATGACACCTCTTTGGTCTATGAAACCATTTTATTATAAGCCAACAAGCTCCCCTATTTAATATGAAAAATTAAATAGGTTTTATATTAAGCTGGGTTCAGAAAAGCTTCCTATAACAAGCCCCTATAGTTAATTGCATTCTAGATAACCGAGGTTACCTAAGAAAACTCTCAATAAAAATTAGGGGATATTATCTTCAAGAAGTTCCAAAGAATATGACTTTTCAATGAGTTTAGACAAAGAGGTGGGAAAGGGGAATGACTCAAATTTGGAACATTTTCTTTTGGAATCCAAAGGAAGAAGAAATAGGAGATATCATAGATCCTGAGGAGAACCTCGGTGACCTCCCAAACTATCATACTGTTTGGCTTCATTTTTGGAGAATAGAACTATTAAGTGTTTCATCCTGCCAAATTTATTAATTTGAGCTTACATTCGTGTGTAACAATCACACATATAGCCTGGAAGATGTGAGGATTTAGGTCGTGACACACGATAACCTCGGAATCCTAAAGCAAGTTAGGGTTTAAATTACATAGCAGAGCTATACAAAGGTCTAAAGATGAGTTGATGATTTATGTTGCCTAAGCAAACAACCTCAAAGTCCTATGAATTGTTGTTTAATTCTAAAGGATGGTTTAGCTCGTGTAGACATGTTTTGCTGTTGAAGATGGTCGTGCTGCCCGCGGTGCTAGCTCCAAACTCCTTATCGTGACGAGTTTAAGTTTTCTAATGTGTTAGGTTTTGATGTCAAATCAAATTTTCCCTAAGTTGATAGCCATTTAAATATTAAGGGGGGTGTTAAAGTTGATTAGAGCGACATCGGTTAGGATCCTACGGTTCCTTCGTTCCAGTGTCACTATTTTCTTTCAGATTCACTTAGTCTAAATGAATTTACTAAACTCAACTGAATGAGTTCCATACTTTCATTTAGACAGTGACAAATCTCGTTAGCAACCGTCGGTTACCTCCTCTGAGGGATTTCCAATCATTTGATAGAGACGTTTTAATTTAGTTGCAATTTTTGTTTCATTCTATTTGTCATTAACTTTTGAGTTGTCTTATATTGAATGTCATGGCGGTGAATTTTATCTTATTTTGATTTTTAATTGTGGTTTCAGTTTGATGGCTATCCTAAAGGTTTTTGTTTTTACATGCAAGGTGACATTGTTATTTAACATGCAAATTTATAAGCATAACAAGTACAATAAAGATAGTGCAGGAAAAGAAAGTATTGTAAACCATAAAAGTGTACATGTCGAGTCTTCTCGTTTCTCCACCCGAAACTTTAGTATCTTTTGGAGTAAACATTTATAATTTGTAGGAAAGTAAAGCTTATAGATAGGTTCATCGCAGGTCTACTGAATCCTATGTCATAACTTGGTGGGACTTAGTTATTTAAGTGTATAGATGATTTCTCAAGTAGGGCATAATGAGTCTAATTGTCCTTCAAAGTGTCCAAAAGAGCATGAGAAAGGTCAAGAGGTTGGGCCTTGGGCATCTCAAAATCCCTTGAAAAGTCCCAAGTTCATTCAA